GTGGCTGATGTTCTACATGGAAAACGTTTAATATGACCAAATTATTAGAAGAACACATTGCTAGATTTGTGTGGTCAAGTTTCGAAATAGCTTCAAATTAATTCAATAACTTCTCCATTTAATTGTAAATGTTGACCAATGTAGCCTCGGGTTACATTATTTAGAAAACTAACTTACATCTCGATCTCTATTCCTCTTATATTCAAGAACAATTCATTGCATCTGGACACTGCCGTTGCATTGCATGAGGGCAAGACGTTTTCGCGTAACCTTATTTCCTAATTTACTGGCCGTTTTGCCAACTTCGTTCGATGAATTTACGACACAGTGCAATCCCTTGTTTTTAACGAGCGAGTTAAAAGCCGAGCAGTAGGTTTCTTTGCGTGACATTTGCAATGCCATCCAACTCGCCACGCGGAAGCGCCCTATTAGAACGGGTGCCAACAAATATCCAACCCGCAGGCCGAAGGGACAGGAACGCCGCCGTCAATCGCTTCTCAGGGGCCACTCAGGCTTTCTTTAACCGCGTCCCCTTCCGAGCGAGGAAGAAACGAAATATAACTTGAACGCACTCGTCAGTGTCAAATTGTACGCCGTTCAAGTTTGCAATGATATGGAAAGCTCATTATCAAAAATCAAAGGAGTCCACGGCATATTTTCGATTCATAAGATATCCGTAATAAAATAGGTTAATGATTCACCAACAATCAATGATATATCTCCGAATATTTGGATCATAACATGGCTATCTTATCATAAACAGTATTACCTTCCACTCTAGACGAGAGTTCACCATGACGTGAATGCCAATCAAGACGAAGTTTGTAATGAATGAAAAACACCGATTCACACATCACATTATTCATGCATGTGCAAAACTAATGATAATCGGTCTGCTTTCTCATTAAGTATAGCAAACGTCACACGATCAGTTATGCGATGTCAAGAGTATGTAGTTTCGTATCGGGTCACCTGTTTTCTCTCAAGAGTCAAATTTCTCATTTATGAAAGTAAGTAAATTGCAAGGGATTTGCAACTAGACTTAATCTTGGACGTATCACAATTACTCAGAAAGTAACGACCAAATATCAACGAGCGTACCTCCAAATATCAAATCTCGGAATCGTTGTCCCACGTGCCCCGCCTTATCAACG